ATTTTATAGAATTTTATTAATAAAATTATATAAAATCTTATTATTCTCAAAAGTTTACTAATCAATTCTAACTTCATATACTAAGTAAACTTGTTCAGCACAAAAAAATACAAATATAAATATTCGAACTTTGAACTAGTTTGACAAACTTCGGACTGAACCGAACTGAACTCTTAACTGAGTTTGAGTCTGGTTCAAAGTTTAAAACTAGCAAAATTTAGAGTCAAGTTTGGTTCAATCCTGGATCGAATCTAAACTGGACCGAACTCGAACCGAACATAGGAGCACTACTTAGATGGTTCAGAATTCAGAACTGGAGTTGGGGTCGGTTCTAATGGATTATCTATTTGTTTAGGTTTATCGATTTGTTCTTCAGTATCAGTTGGCATGATTTTGTCAAAATCATTCATCCTAACATTTTCAGGAATATTTGGCCGATTGATATTTTTAGGATCCTTTGGTTGACTGTTTACTCCTAACAATTCAGAGTTTTCTCAAAAAAACTGGTTTACTGCATACTCAAATATCATTGTCAAGTCAATCTTTAAATCTTCATAACTCTTATGATAACTTAATTGCTTTCTTTGTTCTTCATAATAACAACAAGAAACATAATTATTTGACCCAAATTTACACTTACAACTCATTGTATTAACGTTAAAATTTAAGATAATATTGTTTATTAATAAAAAAAAGAAAAAACATGATATTTATATATTTTTAAAATAATAAAAACTAATTGTCCCTATTCTCATTAACAACTTGATCAACCTGCATATTATTGTTATTATTGGCTAGTACAATAGTAAATTCCTCTTTAAGCTATCTAATAAGAGATCTGCCTAATTCCATCTTATCCTCAAATGATTCATCATAATGATAAGTAATCTCAATCGACCTATTGCTCATGTAAACAGGTATACCAGTTTGTCTTCCTGAAAATGAAAATTGTTCACCTAACAAATAAGATGTTTGATCAGCTATATACCTTTCATCATTGTTAGGAAGTTTAGATCGAAGTCTACGCATTTTAAAAAACCCAGGCATATAGTCAACCGCGATAATAAATGCAAAATTTGCGGTATCAGACATGATACTATCACCCTCACCCCCTTCCTCAAGTTTACAAACCTTCATCTCATTTTTTGGAAATTTATAACACATATAGAAATTCCAATCTTTCAACAAACAACCCATGTTATCACACTCAATCTCTCCTACATGATAGGCCAAAACATCTAACTTATCGTTTCTAATCCTTGGATTGTTCAAATTTTCAATATCATGAAACACATTATCAGGCACAATATTTCAAACAGATTTCTTAGCTAACGTCTTATCACAAATACGAACTAAATAAAAATGTAATTGTATTGTTGATAATAATAGAGTCAACAGAGTACTTCTCTCAACTGAAGGTAACTTGTAATGATCCATTAATTAATCAGATCTTAACTTGGCTTGCTGAGGGGGCTGTTCTTCTTCATCATCATTTTGAACTGGTCATGCAGGGGAGAGAATTATCTGCTCCCAAGGAGCAATACCAATTAGATTACCAATTTGTCCAGTATGAATAGAGATGAATCTAATATGAATTGAAATGTCTGAAAGAACAAGATGAGTCAAGAGCCATCTATCATTTTGTTGTAGCAAATGCCAAAACCAAAATTGCTTATAAAGCATATCATTATAGGCCAAAGTTTGCACCTCATTATTAGAAATCATAGGGCCCAAATTTATTCAATCAACCTTTGTATTAGAAGATCACGATTGCTTGCATGCGTTATATAATAGTTCATCGCCAACTATGCATGTTTCAATTGAGCAAACCTTTTTAGGTTTTGGTTCAGATCCTGGCAACGAAGCAACTTTTCATTTGCTCATAATATATTTTTACCACAACAAGTGTTGAAAAAATGAACCTTGGCTTTTCTTTTTACTGATAACTGCTTTTTTCTATCTTTGATTTTTTTATGTTTTTAGGTTGCTAAGGTTTTTTGGATGTTGAACCTTTTTTCTTGGTTACTTTTTTGCTCTTTGTGCATGCCAGATTTAAATAGTTTTATCGTTGTAGGCGTCTAATGCTCTAATGGCTTCCTGAATTGTTAAACGAATATTTATAGCTAAAAGTGTAAAGTAGCTTTTTAAGATATACAAGAAATTAATCACCTCGCTATTGCAAAGTTGATAGAGTATAACAGATACAATAAAAATAAAAAGTAAACAGCAAATATTGAAATTAATATAGATAACGTACAAAAGAAAATTAGACATTTGTTTTTAGTAAAAATAACAACTGACAGGGTATTTATACTTTTATTTTAGAAAAAAACTCAAAGCTTTACATTCTCAAGAATCATTTTATACAATTCAGGATCGCTATTCTTTACTTCTAAACTATCAATCTTTTTGAGTAATACCCATATTTGCTCCTTATTCAAAAGTTTTAAAGTGTTTTTTAATTCGTCTAAATCATTTTTATTTGGTTTACTATTATTATTATTATTTATCAAATGACCCAACAACTGATTTACCATATTATCTCTGAGGCATTTTTTGCCTTATTAGTACTAGTTACATGGTCTAACAACTTATTCGTCATATTAATATTACTAACGGCCAGCATCTTGATCAAATCATTCTGACTCTGCAACTTCTTGTTATAGTTAGTTTGCATAGTGTCAATAACCTTTCCATATGCATCATGCGTATCTTTTGATTTTTTTACCTCATTATTATTCATAGTTTTTACGACATCAGCATAATTCCCACTCAACTCTATCACCACCTTTGTTTGGTTATCGCTTAAATTCTTGATGACTTCTTTATGATTATCGCTTAGATTCTTGATAGTCTTCTTATGTAATCTGGTTAAATTTTTTATGGTCTTTTTCTGATCATTACTTATAGATTTAATAAGCTTTGCATTATTATTATTCAATTTTTGTATTGATTAATTCTGCCGAGATTGTTGAAGTTAAACCTACTGTGATAATTGATTGGGTCTTGTTTGGACAAGTTGTATACTTGGAATTTTAGGTTTAGCTAGTATGTGCCTATTTTAAACAAAAACGGACAAATTACCAAGCGTTATCCTAGTAGTATCTATCTTCAAAAGTTTTATAGTACCAGTACTACACCTCGTTATGTAAATATGCATAAGCCTAAAGGCGCAAACACCAAGCAACTTTGTATAACAAGAAACAAAAGAAAAAAGGCTGTAACGAAGAAAAGATTAAGAACTCGCAAGGCACATGATAAAATCATTTTGTCATTCAATACATGAATAGCTATTTAATCAGATTGTAATGATAGGTGATTTTTTTTAGGAATCACTAATATTTTTTGTTGTATTTTTTAACATGGCCAAAAAATTTTCACCATTTTTTTTTTTAAAGTATATATATGTGTTATTGTTATGATAAATAAATTTTTAAATAAAATATAATATATTAAAGAAAGATATAATTTAAAT